TCAAGATTGAGATGTTAGTAGAGAACTAGCCTTGCAAAAAGGGAACCGAGACCTCTCCTCCTCCAACAGTCAGGACGTTATCCTTCAAATCTATAGTGCACTACACATAAGAAAGAGAGGGAGAGAGATAGTTTTACATTTGGTTGAATCAGATCCAATAAATTCAAAGTCAAATGATGGAGATTGGTACCTGATGCTTACGCAGCATATCCAGGCCAAACAGGAATTCCATGTTAGGTGAGTCCAGCACCACGAACGAACACGGGTAAAAGTTATTCCCAATCTGCAAGGTACGCGATTTTCAATTTCTTTTGCAAAAAGATAATGAAACAGAGAAACAAAGGGAAAACATTATAAGAAAAAAAATTGGTGGTCTTTACCTTGATTGGAGCGACATGAATACGGCCTAATATCTCTGATTGACCAACACCATGAGCAATACCTTTATAACGTTGATCCATGAGTCGCAGCAATCTGAAAGTAAGTATTTAACAAGACTTGAGAGGTATTCCATCATTCTATGTTAAAAGAACTACCAGAAGAAACAAAAAATTCAAGTTACCCGCATTTCTCAGCACAAGTCTTGGATATAATTGTCGACTGTGCACCACTATCAACGAAAGCCTAGAGATGGTGTCAAATATAGGTTTAGAACACAAAGCGGATTTAAGGAGTGCTCAAAAACAGATCTCTACGCGCACTGAGGAACCGAGAAATATTGAAAACAAATGGTAAACTGAAAAAGAGGTTATATATTGCCAAATTTCTACCTTTAAAGGTACGCCATTGACCTCCATATCCACATACAGCATTATCTAAGAAAATGTAATAAAGAAATTTCAAGTCTGTGTACAAGAAAGTTAAGTTAAGGAATTTCAGAAGCATAAACTAAAACATGAGCATACATACCACCCGAGCAAAACCTTCAGGATTATGTTCAAGGGCAGCTTCCCAGTTTTCATCAATACCTTTCTGCTCAAAAGTATCAAGACAGGACCAAAACTCAGATATGAAATGAAAAGATAACAAGCTAATTAGAATAATACAAGAACCAAACCTAAGTTGAAGTGTTGCATCACGGAATCACACAAGAGTTAATTGCGACTACAGAAATACTAGAGTCCAGTACATGCAACTTAAGGAAGAACCATTAACCTGTCGAATTGCAGCTTCAATTTTCTTCTGTGCTTCAACATCAAAAGGATCTGCATATAGAAGGGCCTGCAAGGGGGAGTAGATAAGCAGAATTCTTTGATAGTGGTAGATGTGTGGAAAAACTAAGAAGCTAGCAATACTTTCAAATCCAGTTTTTGGAAAGAAGAAAAATAAAACTTACGAGTTCCTCCTCCTTCTGACGCTGTAACACAGATCGCTGCTGATGCCGTGAACGCAAAACATCCTGCAACTTGTTTAAATCACTTCCAGTAATCACTTGTGCAAGCTCCGGATCTGTCTGCAATTCATAACATCAAAGCCAAGGTAACCGAGTCATAAAACAAAGGCCTAAGAAGTATATTCATAGCTCCAAGCTAAATTCTTAGTAACCATCAATTCACACCTGATATAACTGTCCCATAAGATTAGCATCACCCCGAAGGTGTTGTTGAAAGACTGCAGGGTTCAAAGCTGACCCATCAGGATTCATCCCCAAATCACTCCCCGCCGCAGTACTGAATCAATCAACCAAGCAAAAACACCAAAGAGTAACTATGATGATTGGTTCAAGTTCCAAACTTTTTTTTCAAAATGTAGATAAAAGAGGTGAATCAACCGTACCCAGATGATGCATTGGAAACCATCATCAATAAATCATCATCCTTAACACCCAAGGCACTCAATTTATCCGAATTCCTCATCTCGTTTCCATTATACAACAGCTGCTGCTGCTGAATCGGAACATTCGACTGCTCATTGATACAAAAACAAAGTAGCTTAAGTTACAAAAACCCTAAACCCAGCAGAATTCAACTCAATTTTAGCTGCTTCGATCTCTTTTCGCTTATCGGTACCAATCGACACAATTCTAAATCTAAATCGAACTACAGAGATCTGAGATCCTTTACCTCAACTTCAAGCAAGGCTTTAACATTCTCAACCTACGAGAAGAAGAAAACCAAAAGGATCAATAAAAAAAAACAAATCTTTCTGAAACATCGACTAACCCGGGGGGAACAAGTAGTGAAGCACCAAGAAGAGAACCTTCATCGATCAATTCGAGAAGTACATTGTGATTTAAGAACCCGAAGAATCAGGAAAGTTAGGGTTTTTCAGCAACTTACGGTTTCCTGAGAATCGACATCAAGCGTGATGATTTGTTCACCGGCGGTCATCACAGTGATTCTCATCTTGTAATCGTCTGTTTGGCTTCTCCGTCTTTCTCTTTGCTTTACTTCTGGTTTTAAGATTTTAACTTTTGTCTTAAGGGAGAAGCCAAACATGGTATTATTATCAATTTACCAAAAACCCGCTCCTTGACCGAGAGGCTCTTAATTAGACGGTCGTTAAATCCCGAAAATACCCCTGTCACTAGTGAAATCCCGAAAGTAGCCATGTATTATTTATTTTTGTTTTACATCTGAATCCTTTTGAGTGTTTCATC